TCCATGATTCCATCATTGATGATTTTATCTCTCCCTCTCCCGTCCTCTTTGAGATCAATAAAAATATATTTTAAAAAATGAAAAAATAAAAATAAAAAAAAGAAAAAGAAAAAAAAAGGAGACAGCGCATTAAAGGGGCTCATGCCTATCGTGGGAACATTGCTCAATAAAAACCATCAGCCCTGACCGGTTTTGGCTCAGATAGAGAGTCGGCCTGCGGACTGGAGGATCTCAGGTTCGATTCCGGTCAAGGGCATGTACCTTGGTTGCGGGCGCATCCCCGGTGGGGAGTGTGCAGGAGGCAGCTGATTGATGTTTCTCTCTCATCGATGTTTCTAGCTCTCTATCCCTCTCCCTTCCTCTCTGTAAAAAACCAATAAAATATTTAAAAACAAAACAAAACAAACAAAAAAAACCATCACTCAGCTGGTTTGATTCCGGTCAGGGCCCATGCCCAGGTTGTGGGCTCGATTCCCCAGTGGGGCTTGTGCAGGATGATTCTCTCTCATCATTGATGTTTCTATCTCCCTAGTCCTTTCTGAAATTAATAAAAGTTAAAAATAAAATAAAAACTTCCTAAGGCATTGAAAACATCTTTTTGTACTAATAAACGCTTTCCTACAATAGGGGACAGCACAGTACATCCAGATAGATGGCTGGATGGATAGATAGATAGATGCATAAAAAACATTTGTAAATTTAAAAAATTGTTTACAAATTAAATATGGCTGCTTTTGATGTACACCACCATAGCTGAGTGCTTTCCAAAGAGAATGTACAGCCCTGGCTGGCTGGCTGGCTCAGTTGGTTGGAGCATCCTCCCCATACACCAAAAGGTTGCAGGTTTGATTTCCGGTCAGGATACATACCTGGGTTGGTTTGATCCCTGGGCCAGACACATACAGGAGGCTTCCAGTCAATGCTTTCTCTCTTATGTTGATGTTTCTCTCTCTCTCCCTTCCTGTCTCTCTAAAAATCTATATAAATATATCCTCAGGTAAGGATTAGATAAAAGTGAACTTATAGTCTACAGAGCTCATAATATCTGGGTATTTTCAGAAAAAAAAAATTGCCACCCCCTGTCCTACATATCATTTAAAGTAACGGTGTGTGGTGCCACTGCATTGCCATGATTTACCTATCCGCTCTCTTACTGGTTGCTTCAGTGATTTTTTAAAAAATATATTTTATTGCCGAAACCGGTGTGGCTCAGTGGATAGAGCGTCGGCCTGCGGACTAAAAGGTCCCAGGTTCGATTCTGGTCAAGGGCATGTACCTGGGTTGCGGGCACATCCCCAGTCGGGGGTGTGCAGGAGGCAGCTGATTGATGTTTCTCTCTCTCTCCCTTCCTCTCTGTAAAAAAATCAATAAAATATATATATTTTATTGATTTTTCACAGAGAGGAAGGGAGAGAGAGAAAAAAATCAATAAAATATATATATTTTATTGATTTTTCACAGAGAGGAAGGGAGAGAGAGAAAAAAATCAATAAAATATATATATTTTATTGATTTTTCACAGAGAGGAAGGGAGAGAGAGAAAAAAATCAATAAAATATATATATTTTATTGATTTTTCACAGAGAGGAAGGGAGAGAGAGAAAAAAATCAATAAAATATATTTAAAAAAAGAGGTCATCATTTGAAAAAATATATATATTTTATTGATTTTTTTACAGAGAGGAAAGGAGCGAGATAGAGAGTCAGAAACATCGATGAGAGAGAAACATCCATCAGCTGCTTCCTGCACACCACCCACTGGGGCTGTGCCCGCAACCAAGGTACATGCCCTTGACCAGAATCGAACCTGGGACCCTTCAGTCCGCAGGCCGACGCTCTATCCACTGAGCCAAACCGGTTAGGGGGCGCTTCAGTGATTTTTGATGCTATGTCCTTAAGAAACATCCTGGTACTGAGGCAAATATGTGGCTTTTCCTTAGGCTGAATATCTAGAAATGGAATTTCTAGGTAAAGGTTTTTACCATATAACCTTTAAGGATTTTTTGTTTTGTTTGTTTTTAAATATAATTTTATGTTTGGTTTCAGAGAGGAAAGGAGAGGGAGAGAGAGAGAGAGAAACATCAATGATGAGAGAGAATCATTGGTCAGCTGCCTCCTGCACACCCCACAACCCGGGCATTATGCCCTGACCGCGAATAGAGCTGTGACCTCTTGGTTCATAGGTGGATGCTCAACCACTGAGCCACACCTGCTGGGCTAACCTTTAAGGTTTTAAATATAAATTGCAAGTGTCCTTCCCCCCTGTTTTCCCCCCCAAAAAATAAAGTTTGTTGCCTAGCAGAAACGTATGAGGATGTTTCTCCCCATCCTCACCGACACGGGGCGCCATCAATGTTTTCATGTTTTTGCTGATCATGTTGTCCCTCCCTGAGGAGAGTTCCTTTTGTAAACAGCGAACAGGCTGCCTTTCCATTTCTGATTCATGCTATAAAGGTGTCTGGCGTGATCCTCATTGTCCTGGGCATCTACGTCAAGTTCAGAGGGGCCGTCCTCACAAAAGTCCTCAGGCCGTCGTCCGTGTACCTGTTCCACGTGAGCTACCTGTGTCTGGTGATGGGCTGCCTCACCACCGTGCTGCTGGGCTTCCCCGTGTGGTACGGCACAACCGAAGAAAGCAGAGAGATCCTCTTGTTTGTAAGTTGGGTCTGCGGGCAAACCCCAAAACTCTCCCTGCACGTACCAATCCTTTACTGTACACACTGCAAATCCCTCCTGCCCATTTGCAGTGTTCATGGTGTCTCATTTGATGGCATCAATACATACATCTCTTCCTTTATGATGTGTCTCACTTACTCGTAGAACTCCTTTCCTACCCAAGGTCATGAATTATACTCTCCTAGGTTTTCTCCCCATGGCCTTCTGGAGTTTAACCATGTGTGTGGTGTGAGGTAGGGATCTGATTTATACTGCCCCCCCTTACTGAGTGGCCCCTCTGGTCCTCCTCTGTCTACATGAGTTTCCATTGTGTTTGCGTCTGTTCTGGGCATGCTGTTCTTTCCATCCCACTAACACAACATGAATAAGTACATGCTCAAGTACATGGGGTATGAACGTTTTGAGCATGACCATGCAGATAGCATGTCCCAGATTTTACATGCTTTATTTTCACACACAGCCTTGGCTAACCATCTCTTTAAAATCCAGCTCCCAGCATCCCCTTTCTCATTTCCCTTAGAATCTTGTTGGAGCGGATTATCCCACTTTATGTTTAATCTGTCTCCAGTGTGTTTGTTTTCCTTCCTCTACGGTGTTGCTACCAGTCTCTGGTTATTTCAATTTGGGGGTTTCAGGGAAATTCTTACTCTAGTTACCTCCTAGAGCACCCTGCCCCCACCCTCCTCCTCCCTGAAGTTCCATCATCTCAATTTCTTTTCTTAATTAGGTTCAGCAAATATTTCTTTTTAAAAAAACCAGTGGGGGATGTGCAGGAGGCAGCTGATCTATGTTTCTCTCTCATTGATGTTTCTAACTCTCTATCTCTCTCCCTTCCTCTCTGTAAAAAATTAATAAAATATATTTAATATATAGAGATAGAGAGTTAGAAACATCGATCAGTTGCCTCCTGCACACCCCCTACTGGGGATGTGCCTGCAACCAAGGTAGATGCCCTTATCTGGAATCAAACCCGGGACCCTTGAGTCCGCAGGCTGACGCTCTATCTACTGAGCCAAACCGGTTAGAGCTCAGCAAATATTTCTTAGCCACATCCTATGCCTACAATATTGCATTTTATCTTTAATGTGATATGGACACTATTTTAACCATAATTTAACTTGGAGGAATCAGAGTCCTCCCTCTCACAACCCCACATCCAACCTGTCTGCAAATCCGACCTGCTTTACCACCAGTCTCTGTCCCCCCAAAGCCTCTGAGACCTCACTCACAAAAGCAAAGTCTTTTTGATGGATTTGGGAGCCACACAAGGTTCTGAGCAGAGGAGGGACTTTGGGACGCAGGCACTCACAGGTGCTGGTGCTCACGGGCGCCCTCTGGTGCCCATGGCGGGGGGGACGGGACAGTGGGGGGCCCCACAGCAGAGGCACTGCGCTGGGCCAGGTGGGAATGGTGCAGGCTAGACCTGGTGGAGTTGTGGGAGGGGTGAGAAAGGGCAGATTGGGGATAGATTCTGAAGATAGAGCCACTGGGACGTGCTGACGTCTGGTTATCTTAGTCACCCAGAGGCAGGGAGAGAGTGACATTGATGTTAATATTAATCCTCATAATCTATTACATGAGCCACTCATCTGGGGTCCTACACCTGCTAAGCCCTGCACCCACATTTACCCCTGTGGGCTGTGGGGACCCCAGGGGTGTATCCACTGCACTTTCCTTCCTCTCTGTATGAGGGCCAGATAAGGCAGGTGACTCAGCCTAAATCATCAAACAGGTCTTTAATAATCTATACTAATAAAAGGGTAATATGCTAATTAGATCAGACATCTTCTGGACAAAGCCACGGTGGCAGGGGCCTAGGCAGAGGTGGTTAGGGGCGATCAGGCCGGCAGGGGAGAGCAGTTAGGGGCAATCAGGCAGGCAGGTAGGCGAACGGTGAGGAGCCAGCAGCCCCAGATTGTGAGAGGGATGTCAACTGTCGGTTTAGGCACAATCCGAGGGGTCCTGGATTGGAGACGGTGCAGGCCAGGCTGAGGGACACCCCCCTGAACATGCACGAATTTCGTGCACTGGGCCTCTAGTAGTAATAATAATAATAGGTACAAATGGAAATGCATGAAAGGAAAGCCAGGAGCTGACCTTACTTCGCTCCCATCTGGCCTCAAGCTCCACAGAATCCACTGAGACCCCTAGAGCTGGTCCCACCGCCATATTGTGCAGACAGGGAAACTGAGACACCGGGGGG